CATCCTCAAGCCACTCCCTTCTTCACGAATGAATAAAAACTGGGTTCGGTCCTGGGTGGAGGCCTTTGTTCCCGATGGCCATCATCATGGTTGGATTTAGGACCCTTGGCTCCCCGTAACTACAAATATGCTTTAGTGTCTTTATTGTCACCATGGGTTGTACTGAAAGTGGTAGATTGGAATTGACTCTCTAGAATTCCAATAACTTCACGGGATTACAAATGTAAACTTCTGGGCAGTGAGGAGGACTGGGAAGGGCTCTTTATAACTGTTAATGAACACCAGTGGGTTTCAGTTGTCAAAATCCAGGCAGTTGGGAGATTTCATGACAAACTACCCGGTTTCTTCAGCAAATAAATTACAAGGAAAAACACAGAAGAGAGGCTTATACATCAAAAGAGGCTTAGGATGCGTATCATCTGATTAAGATATATGGACCTTGTTTGTATACTGATTTTAGTAAACTATAAAAAATATTTTGAGACAACTGGGGAAAATGTGAACACTTACTGAATATCTGATGATAGTAAGGAATTATTAAAATTTTAAAGTATGTTATGTGGGGGTATTTTGATTGTTTTAACTGAGAAGGCATTGAAATCTGCATGAGTTTTTGATATGAGCCTGAGGGTTTGTTTTAAAATAATCTAGGAGCCTACTGGTTGGGGGCAGGGTTGACCATGACTTGATAATTGCTAAAACTGCAAGTTCAAGGCTAGCTTGGGCTACAAAGTGAGTTCAAGGCCAGCCTGAACTGCATAGCGAGACCCTGTCTCAAAAAGACAAAAAGAAAGAGGGGATACTGGGGATTTAGCTCAGCGGCACAGTGCCTGCCTGGCAAGCAGAAGGTCATGAATTCGATTCCTGGTGCTGGGAAAAAAAAAAAAAGATTATTACACCAGGATTTAGTGCCTTATTGGACATGATATGATTTTGAAATAATAACATTATGATTGGTAGCTTGGGTATATGGCAGTACCACTGCAACTGAGAAAACATAGGATAAAAATTATTTTCTAGAGCACAGGTAAGCTGTGCTGTGTTGATGTGACAGTATTCTTGCCAAATGTCACAAGTATTCCGCTGAACATGTTCAAGGAAATCAATACCAGAAATACATTTAGCAATTGCTAGCCAAAGATAAGGCTTTAATTGTATGCCAGACTGACAGTGTCACACGAAGCCAAGCTCTGGATGCTACAAGACTTCACAGAATTTACTGTGTGAGCACAGCCTTGGTCACTATCCATTTTCACAAAGCTGTGAGAAATGATAGGGCAGAGTTCCATATTTTGCTAGGGGTCAAGTCTCAAATACCAAAACACAGCTAGTCAGCGAAGGAAGCTCAGAATGTTCCTGAGAGGCAAAAGCTGATCATAAAATCCAATTATTTCTCTTTATAAGCAAGGCAAACATACTCTTAGATCCTTACCAAAACAACTATGTGAAACAAGGCAGCCTACTGAATACATTATCAAGATAAGCACTGAGTAACAGCAAAAGCAACTATGATTAAGTAAGCCATATATAAATCTGTTTAGCATGGGCCCTTAGATACACTATGGAGTAGTAAGTAAAGTTCAAAATAAAAGCCAGGAATTTACTGTTTAGTATAAGCCAGTTCCTAAGATAATGACTACTATAATTTTTATCAATATGAATTTAACATTAAGTTTAGGGGCTTAACTGAATATGGGCAAGGAACATTAATCTAAAAAGTTGAAGATACAAAACATTTCTCACAACAATGAATGAACTATTTACCTTTGCCAGGTTTATATTTGAGATTAAAAGGTTGATTCTGCCAGATATAGGGAGCCAGCATAGGTGCAAACTGGGTCATTATTCTCTCAATATACTTCTCAAGAATCTCTCTGCGTTTTTCTGGGTCCTTTGATTCATCTGGTATCAGGAATAGGTGGTACTCCACAGTGTCTTCCACAGTAGCAAGCATCATATTTTCCTCCATTCTTCTTTGAAAACTACAAGTAAAATTTCAATAATATAAACGATCAAGAATAATGTACAGCAGCATGTGGTGGCACACGCCTATAATCCCAGCACTCAAGAGGCTGAGGCAGGAGGATCGCTGTGAGTTCAAGACCTGCTTGGGCTACAAAGTGAGCTCAAGGCCAGTCTGAGCTGCATAGTGAGACCCTGTCTCAAAAAGGCAAAAAAAAA